TTTTGGGGGTGATGGCATGGTAACCATAATTGTGATAGAAACGTGGTTTGTAGTAAATAACAGAGAAACTTAAATAGCGTACATGTTAAGCCACTGGTGTGAATTTCTAACCTGGAAATCATTCTAGAGGACTCTGTAGGACAAAGTCTTGAATTAACCTATTGCTGTTTGAAAGTCCTCTAGGACCAGAACTTCCACCCTGGGTGGGTTCCTGCATTAGTACCATCATACAGCCAGTGAGTGGCACCTGTGTTCAGAATTAAACGATTCACACAGGCTGAGGATGGGGCAGAGGGACAGTTCCCATCTTGTTCTTCTTCTCACCTTTCATTTGTAAATTCCTCACAATCCATGTCTAATTCTTCACTCCTTCAACCTTTTTCTCTACAAGTCTTCATTTTCACCCCTTTTTCCATCAGCACCATGTCTGAATGAAACAGAGACCAAGATGGTGAGAGGATGGTGTGAGACCATAAATGAAACATCAGTGTGAAAGCAGAAGCACGGATGTGACGAGAGGAGATTCAGAAAAACAAAAACTAATAATTAAAAACTGATCCCTAGCAGAATAACTCAACTTATTTTTGTTGATTCAACATACATAGCCTTTCCATAGCTAATTTACACTTGCAGTTTAATGAAGGATGATAAAGAGTTGTTGGGCGCTGTAGATTATAGATGTGCATGTGTGTCTGTGTGTATATATATTTCCCATTCTGAAAAGCTTAAATTATCTTTGTTCAAAACTAGCATTTTTGTTGTTGTTGTTACCTCTTTGGGGTTCATTTCTTTGCTTTTGCATTTTCTTCTGTTGCCTTTTCCAGTACATTATCTTCTCATGGTATCTCCATCCAGTAACATGTCATCACGTTCTAGACATTATTACATTAGAGTTCACAGACCTGTCACCTGAATGAACAATGAAGTCGAGGCCACAATGAACACAGCTAATGCCACTTTACTGAAGGCATCGCTGCAACACTCATAAATAAATGTGCTTTGAGTGGTTGGTCCCTTGAACCATGGCTTGTACCCTTCTTGGCAATGCTTGCTGTGGCTCCTGCTACCAGTTCAAGTGTTGTTGACCTTTCTTTGTAGGAAACAAGAGACCCATATCTGAGTCACAGTGTAATACGTGGGTCTCAGTGGTACTCAGGATCCTACCACTACAAAAGCCACAGAGATTGGAATATTCACCTGTTCCTTGCCTCCTACTTCCAACCATAATTTACATGTTTTTAAGGTAAAAATAACTGTTAACCATGTAACTTTCCTCACATTCGCTTTCTGCCTACATTGATACAACCAGTACAGCTGGTAGCAAAGATTTTCTAGCACAACATGTTTTATCCTTGCCAGAAAAGAACAAAGATTAAAGAAATATCTGGTTTAGATGGAAAGGAGAAATGGTCAGTTCATTTTTTTTTTAGATTATTATTAGATGTGTCTGCCTCTCTGCCTCCTACTTGATTATTTCAGTTATTTCTTTACCTTCCTTGAGATTCTGCAATAGGCTGTTGGTGCCAACAGAACACCAGCTGCTGCTTTCAGTTACAGGAACTTTCCAGTCTCCCTCTCTCCCTCCTCCCCTTCCCTCCTTCCTTCCTGGCCTCTTTTGTCTTTCCAACCAAAGATCATCAGCTTTTCACATGATGCTTGAAAGAAAACCTTTTACTTTTAAATGCTGTATTTCAGTTAAATGCAAAGAGCCACACTTAGAACAGGTCTTTGCTCAGAGCATCAGAAATAGCTAAATGAAAGGAAAAATACTGAACATACAGTTTTTCTTTATTTTACTGCTGACTGTTATGCAATTCTATGTAAGTGACAGCTCTGTTGCCAGCTGGGGAACAAAATCTAGAATTGGTGGGATTCCATAACTGCAGTGTCCCACTTCGAGGCTCACCATGTAGTTGTCTTTCTTCTCTCTATTGGGTTTAGTATTTAAAGGGGAATTCACAGGAGATGGAGAAAGATCAATTTAGAGATTATCTCAAAACAAGCACAAGAAGGTCATGTGTCATAGTCACCGTGTCAGAGTCTCACATTTTTTTTTTTCATCCAGTGGGCATCCTTTCCACTGTTGCAGGAGCTTTTGTTAAAATAATCATGCCTAATGTTTAATTTAATGGAGTGTATGCCTTATCCATTGAGAATTTACTTCTATATCAGCTTCAGACTCCTTTAAGAATATACACAACTCTTTTCTCGACCTACTGCTTTCTTTTCTACTTATGACCTTTGCTTTGTTACATTTTCTGTTTTTCCAATACTATCTCCATACATTAGTCCACATTTTTTTTAATGTCCTGAGCAATTGTGTTGTAGATGTTAACTAAAATAACACATTTCTTAGTAAAAGACTTTTATAGAAAGTCATTTGTGTACTCAAAATAGCAGCATGTGCCAAGTAATAACTCTAGAAAACATTGCTAACTTCCTCCTTTGAGATTTACTGCTTTACGTTGTAAATCTGTAAAGCAACTGAGAAGTAGACTAAAGAAATCTTACTATTGGCAAGATCTATAAAGCCCTTTCAATTAAAGAAAAATCTTCATGTATCCTAGTGCATTTCTATTTAACTGTATTGAAATTTGCTGGATAAATCGTTCATCTAATCAGTACTGCATTAAATGTTAAAATCTACATATAATCTAGGAAGAGTAAAAAAAAAATGCATTCATCATACTACTTTTTTTCTTTTTAGAAATAGTAATAAAGAAGCCTGAACAGTTTCTTGAGATTTCAAGTCCATTTTTGAATTATAGAATGACTCCGTTTACAATTCCAACAGAGACGTAAGTATATAGCATTCTTTCCCACAAATACATCCTGTTAACAGATGAAGTACTTTATGACTTGTGCAGTTAAAAACATGCTTTGGCGACAAATGTACTAAAGTTTCTGTCAATACAGTGATTATAGGAAGACAAAAATTTTCAAGCTCTATTTTATAGTAATAGTTAAGATAAATTTTGAATTGATCAAAATAGGCCTAAATATGTCTGGCTTTACAGTGTTGGCTTCTGTCTTAGAACAACAAAGTATTCTGTTTTTCTTTAAACATTAGGACTGGTGAATGTTTTTTGGTTATTACCTGATAATTAAATCACAAGATCAGATGATTGTCATAGAAACCTAGGAGATGAAATTTGTCACTTATGGAGGGAAAAAAAGTGCTAATTAAATAGAACAACAAAGACAATGAAGGAAAAAAAAAGGAAGAATCCATATGTACTGACATTTCAATAGGATGATAGGGATGGAAAGAAAGACTATGTTCTGGATCTGAAGTTTTTAATGCGTTCATAGATGTGAAAAGGACGTCCACAAACAGCAATAATGTGAAGAGGGTATGATTATCACCACTGAAAGTGTGGTGATGTTACGTAGCAATTGGTAACCAATACATGGGTACATACGTGTATCAAGGATTATCAAATTTATTCTTTGAATTTGTGCAGTTAATTGTACTTCAATTACTCCTCAATAAAGTTGTAAAATAAAAAAATTTTAAAATAGTATATAAAATGGTTTAAAAAAATCAAATAGGGACTTTAGAACCAAGGACTACAATAACTGAAATTACGAATTCAATAGATGTGTTTAATCACTGATTAGATACAGCAAAAAAAAGACAATTAGCAAAATGGAAAATAGGTCAGAAGATAAAATCCAGACTGAAGTATGGAGACCAAAAAAAAAAAAAAAAAAGAGAAGTACAGTAAGAGGCTTATAAGACAAGTTGAAAAAGACCAACATACTTTCAAGTGGGTCTCAGCGGTAGCGGATAGAGAGTTTGCGGAATAATTGTGAAATAAAAGTATAATGGCCAATATTATCCCAAAAGCTGAAAAAAAATCAAGTGAGGTTCATAAAGTTCTGAAAAATGTCAAGGGATGTAAATATGATGAAAACAGCACCTAGACAGATACATCGTAGTAAAACCAAAGACAAACATGATACAATAATACAGAGATGTAAAGTGAAAGAAATACAGCTACACAAGTCCACATGCGTAAGTGTCACACACAAAAATATTAGACCAAAGAAATCTGGTATAAAAAGTATGCAGTTTATTTTCAATTATTTTATTCATATACATTAAAAAAAGAAAAGCAATATATGGTGTTGGAAGCCTTATGTTTTGGGAGTTTCTCTGGGGGGATTAGATTCATTTATGTATTTCTTTATTTACCAGAGGTTCTGGGGATCGAACCCAGGACCTCATGCATGCAAGGCGTGCACTTACCACTGAGCTGTACCCACCCCCCGGAAGTC